GAATGAATGTACACGAGGGGCTGGAGAGGCAGATCCCAGGTGCAGGTTACTTGGGGGCAAGGTTGGAGGAAATGTTAGCTCTGTGCCAACCTCCCCTTCTTCCCCAATGTATCCTACTTTGGCTGGATGGTGTAATTTGGAGTGTGTGTGGGGGGGGGGACAGCAATATCATATGCCCCACCCACCAAGTAGCTGCAGAGACAAAGGTTTTGCTTTCCCTTCCCTAGGGGTGGCATCTTAGCTGTGTGTTTAAAAATGGGGCCTGAGAATGGCAGGGGGTCGTTTGTTTCTGCATAGTGGGGGGAGGAGGGATCATCTGTTGGAGCTGGGGGTAGTATAGTTGGTGCTGAAGTACCAGCTGCTCTTTAATAATTAATTCTTCCTACTCACATCCCTTTGAGGAGGGATGTCTGGAACACGGCATCAGGCTCAGCCAGCCTGCTAGAGGACGCACTCCTCTGGGTGGCGGGGGGAGGCGAGGGAGAGACAGCAAGGGGGGGGCGGTTCTTGGCATTTTTGGAGCACTGTCGGTTGCTCATGAATGAAAACCTGATGCAGCCCGTGAGGGGGCCTATTGTAGCTGACTTTGGCTAATTAAACTTTCTCTGCCTTTTTTCTCCCCCACCACACCTTACCCCAGTCCCAGCCCTTTTTTGAATGAGGACCCTGTCTGGTAGTGCTGGGGAGGGGTTATCCTTCTGCCTGAGCTTTTTAGGGCTAACAGACCCCGTCTTCTGCCCTCTGCCTCCATCTCCCCTTCCTCCCCCCCCCCTTTTTTTTTCTAGAAATAGCAGCCTCCTCCATCTGGCTTGTGCAGATGCCTGGAGCTGCGTCTGAGCAGACAAGCAGAAATGGGCCGATTGCAAAAATGAATTTGTCAGCCTGGTGCCTTTTTCCTCCCCTGTTGCCCTCCCGCTTTCCTTAGTTTTGGGCCTGGACGTTCAAGTCAGCCATGCAGTCAGCCATGCTGCACGGTTCTGGTCCTTCTGTTGGCCCAGCTTGGGGGAGGCACAAAGCAATGGAAGCTCTGGGAGGCTGGGGAAAGTGGTCTGCTGTGGCCATGGTCAGGAGGGGTCAAGTTGAGAAGTCCTTAGTGCCTTTGGATGGGATGCCTGGGCTTATAGCTTTTGAATTAAGTTGTTGGGGCAGAGTAAAGCAATCTCAGGCTCACAAGACTTGGTTCAGGCTGCTCGACCCTGCCACCTGTGACTGGGAGGTGGCCCAGGCCTGTATGCTCAGGACTTCGGCCTGCCTCTAGCAGGGCCAGAGCTGCTGTGTTGAGAGTCCTGGTTCTGGAGAGGCCCTCCAAGGGACTCCTGACTCCCCAGGAATTCAAAGGGAGTTGTTTGTGGGACAAGGTCCCTGTAGGGCAACATCGTGAACTTGTGGCCTTTGGGGCATTACACTGCTCAGTGTCTCCCTCACTTGTCTGCCGTCTTCTTCCCACCCTCTGCCAGAGTTTTTACTGCTCGTGAGGGTTGAGGGATGTCTCCCTAGGGTTTCTGCCCTACCTCTGCCCCCTTATCCATGAGCTTATAGGGTGAGAAGCAGCCAGGTCCCCTCATTCTTCCTTGCCCTGCTGTTCTGCCCGGAGGTGCGGGGTGAGTTTGGATCCTGGAGTGAGGTCTGTCTGGAAGAAAGAGGTGGCCACCAGGGTGGGAGTAGAGGGGCAGGGCCGTGGGGGTCTGCCTACTTATGATGTCGTGGAAGCTGAGCTGCCACTGGTTTAGCAACCAATTGTTGGGTCCTCCAGCAGCCACACAGTTCCTGGTCCTTGACTGCCCACCAAGACCCTCATATAACAATAGTCTTTGAGTTTCTCTGGCAGAGGCAGAAACAAATAGCTCAGGTTTTAAACATCAGACTGCCCTTTTCCCCTTCATGCCCCACCCCAAACAAGAATCTCTGCCTGTCCTGATCAGGCCATGAACGCTGCTTTGTTTCACAGGGAGGCCCTGATACTCGGGAGACTTGATGGGGGTGTTGGTAGGCACTCTTTATAGGTGAACGGGGGCCCAGGAGTCCAGCTGAATCCTATGGGGTGGTGAGTCCTGAGCCCCCTGTGAGTTCTAGGAGCCACTCTCTTCCTCTTCTCCACAGTGGGTGAGGATCACCACCTTTAAGACCCAGAGAGAGGGTGGGTAGGTGAGGATGATGGGGGCTGGGGGCTGCGGGCTGAGCTTAACCCAATTTTTTACCACAGGGGCTCTGCTCCTTCTGAGTGCCCTGATGTGGAGGTGCCTCTCACTATGGAATGGGCTGGGCTATTCAGGCTGCTGGGAATCGTGGGAATTTCTGAACCTGTGTTCCCCGGCCCACGGGAAAGGGTGTGAGCAGGACCGGGCGCCAGTCCTGGTGTGGGCATGGGCTGAGCTACCTGCCCACGCGGGCCCTGCCAGGGCACCAGCAGCCCCACCTGCCGCATTCCTGAGCTTGGCCCCAGCCCTGCATAGTCTCTTTTGTCCTTACCCCAAACTTGTACCTGTCAGGAGCAATTCAGCCCCTTCAACTCTGCCCCCACCCCAATCTGAGTGCATCTTTCTCCAGCCATAGAGTCTAAGCTCTGTGGGCGAGAGCAGGGGGCAGCAGGCAGGCCTAAGACCTTGAGATTGTGTGTGTGTGTGTGTGTGTGTGTGTGTGTGTGAGATCGTGTGTGTGTGTGTGTGTGTGTGTGTGTGTGTGTGTGTGTGTCTGGGTGTGTGTGTGTGTACATACCCCACTCGAGATCGTGTGTGTGTGTGTGTGTGTGTGTGTGTGTGTCTGGGTGTGTGTGTGTGTACATACCCCACTCTGCTCTTTCCTATTGGATTTCTGTTAGGCTGCTGTACCGCCCTGGAATCCTTGATGAGAATGTAAGGTTTACTGAGCATTAGTCCTGCCAGGAGGTGGGGCTGTCCAGGAGGCAGTCTGATTGCCTGTTTGAGGCTTGGGGAACAGAGTTAGGGCTTAAACATCCAACATCCCTCAGCCTCCTCCGATCGCTTCCTGCTATCTCACTTTCGTTGGGTATTGGAGGGCCTGCCTTCATTTGGAAGCAAATGAATGAAGTTATGTCTGGGGTGGATCGTACGCTGCTTAGGGTTGGGCCCAGGTGGGTGCCTGATGGTGTCTGAGGCTTGAGGACTGACTTTGGGGCTGCTGTTGGGGAGAGCTGAAGGAGTGGGAACTGGTTGGCAAACCCATGGTCCTGTAGTACATCCGCCATTACTATATTGGCCTTAGAATTACTGCTCTCCTGTTCGATGTCTTTGTACTAACTGGAAAGAGGTGTCCCTTGTTCTGGGTGGACTCAGCCTCTGTCAGGTCATGGTTTGGTAGGCAGAGCACAGGTGGATTTCATACCCCGCTGGGCCAGGCTTCCTTGCACAGGGCACAACCTGTGCAACACACACAAGGCCCTGGGCTTGGGCCCTGGGGCCCCAGACTGGGGTGCTAGATCTGGAATAAATGTCTCTGACTTTCCCAATTCCTGGAAACATACCCTCTTGCCCTGACCCATTGTTGAATGGGGGGAGACCAAGACATCCACATTTCCAGAGTTGGGTGGTACAAGGATCAAAGAGTAGGGAGAAGATGATTCTTTCCCTGGGATTCCCAGCTTAGGCTGCTGGGTCTGGGATACCAGTTTCTCTCTTAACTTCTGCCAGGGACTCCAGATCAGCCCTGAATCTTCCCACTGCCGTGGACAGAAGTCAGAAGCCTCTCTCCACTTTCTCCTTTGGTGCATACCTTTGGTCCCACATCAGGCACCTTTGGGAGTCTGTAAGATTTCCCCTCCTGGCAGTGGACACTGTCACCTAAAAAGGAGTTTGTGTGTGGCCACCATAGCCATTTTCTATCCCTTGAACACTAGAAGCCTCACTCATTAGAAAGAGAAGAAATCAAGGTCTGGTCCATTTCTGTTGATTCCGTCTATGCCCCTGGGCTGGTGTCCCTTCCTCTCTTCCCTAGATGTAAACTGACAAGCTCCACGGCCTCCTTTGACTGTCAGATTCCTGAGTTGGGGGCCTCTAACCCTGCTCCATCTCTCTCCAGGGATGCCGTTCTGAGTGCCTGACTGCCTCGCCCCGAAGGATGGCCTCGGATGGGCATTAGAGGCACGGCGGCCCTGGGCTCCCGTCCCGTCCGTCTGTCTGTTATCGTCTGTCTCTCTTGACATCACCGCAGCTCCACCCCCTCCCGTCCCAGCCCCCAACGCCAGCTTCCTGCGGGCCCAGAGCCGGCATGAACTCTCCCAACGAGTCGGGTAAGAGCTGGGAGGTTGGAGAGGAGCACCCTGGGGTGGCTTTGGCTTTAGTGGGCTGTGTGGGTGTCCAGCCTGGAGCAGGTGACCTTCAGAGTCTGAGCTGTGAGGGAGCAAGGGGTCAGGAGTGGAGAAGTGTTGCAAGAAAAGGACGGAGCCAGCCGTGAGGTAGACCTGGGAAGTAATGGGCTGATGGCCCAGCCTGGCTCTGGGTGGATGTGGGTCCCACTCTGCCCCCATACCTGCCCTCTCAACTTGGGGGCCTTCGGTTCCAGCTCTGCCCTGCCCTGTTAGCCAAGACAGGCAGGCCCGAGGGGAGATGTGTAGCCCTGAGTCTCTCTGGACAATCCAGAATGGTGTTGGAAGAATTGCCTTACTCTTGCTGAGTGCCCAGCTTCCTTTTTGTGGTGGTGGCTGCTGTTCTTGGTGGAATGTTTCTCTGTGTTCCATACTTTTTTCTTAGTTGAGGTTGCAGGGCCCTAGACCTTAACTTCTATGCTTGGGTGTGTGGTATTGGGGTGGGGGTGGGGTGACGTGTCTGTAGAGGGGTCTCAGCCCTCCTCTGAGTCCCGGTAGGCCACCCCTCTTCCTCTTGGACCCTGGACATGGCGGATTACTAATTTGGGGTCTTTTACTCTGAGATTTCCTATTTTTCTTTACTCCTAGGACCTTGCTTAGTGCTGCCAAAAATAGCGTATGGGTGGGACTCCAGGCAGCTTATGTACGGGTGGGTCTGGATGTGTGCCCATGAGGATGTGTCCAAGTAGCCTGAGCTGGACCCTCTGGAGTTTCCCAGGAGGGTCACGGGTCAGTGTGGTCAGAGTAATAACTGCCTTCTCCTCTTGGCTTTCTCCTTCTGCATAGTCTTAAAGGTTCAGAGTCCATCTTGCTCAACTTTAGCCCTTTGTGGTCCATGACATCCCACACATCTTTTTCTGTAGGGGTGCCTGAATATTTTTCCTTCTTTTAGAGATAGGGAAATTAGGGCCTAGGATGAAAACCCACTTGCAGGATAGTATACAAGCAGCATCGGGGTGGGGTCCAGGCCACTCACTCCTCATTTTGTTCCCCACTGTTCCTCCTGCAGGGTTTGTGGCTCCCCCTCAGGTCCTCCTGTCTCTGCTCTTGCCTTCATTTAACCTGTAGGGGTTGTGCCAGGTGGGCTGTTAAGCTCTGTCTTCCTGCATCCTCCTCTTAGGCTCAGTTGGCGAAGGGAAAGGAGAGGCCTGATGGGTTTTCATCAGTCAGTCCCTTATGCATCTTAGCAGGACGCTGCCCCTAGCAGGGTCGGTTGTGTCTGGAAGTAATGCCAGCTTCTACTTTCTTCTGAGTTATTGACGCTGACCTGTCCAGCAGCCATCTCCAGTCCCTGCTTCACATGTGGGCTGGGGTCTAACCCTTCGCCAAGGGAATAGAAGCTGTCCAGAAGCATATGTTGGTAGCTTGGGAAGGACATTTCCTAGCTTTGGGGTTTCATTCCCTTACAGTGGGAGATTATAATAAGCAGCCCAGGATAGATGAAATTATTGGGTTGCTTTTCAGACACTGGGGGTTTGAGTTCCCCTTGCAGCTACTTCTGCTGGAGCTGGAAGGAGTGTGATGATAGCTGGAGATGTTCACCAGCGCAGGAGCCGGGCAGCTTGGGAGTAGCTGCTGTGCCCTGGCCAGGATGGGCCTCCTGAATGGGGCCTGTGGAATTGGCCCTGCCTCCTGGCTGGCTTTCCACCAGCTTTCCACCTGCCCCCAGCAGGGGGAGATGCTGTCTTCTCTGTGCTGGGGAGGGAAGGAGAGATGGAGGGGGCCAGGGATTGGGAACCTCATTGGAGGACTGTTGAGAGGCTTTAGAACTGGGGTCATTGCTTGGGGGTGTCCCCATGAGGCCCTTCCCACAGAGTTTTCCTGGGGTTCTGGCACAGGCTCTTCCAGTTGTGGGGTTATCACTGCTCTGGGCCAGGGAGCCAGCCAGCCTCTTTGCTTAGCTCTTCCTCTGTGAGGGGCCAGCATCTGTGATTCCCAGAGCTCAGGCTGGCATCTGGGCTGGGGCGCGGGAGGAGTGCCTGGCAGAGCCTGGAAACCACGTGCCTGGGGACTCCACAGGAGTAAAGTGAAACCACGAATTGTAGCCAGAGCATGTGGGTTCCTCAGCCTGGCTATCCACCTCCCTGTGGACACCCCTAGAGAGCCCCAAGAAGGAAAGGTATGGGGCAATGGAGCAGGGATAGAGGCAGGACTGATGGGAGTGGTTCGTCCCCAGGGCCTGGGTGCCCCAGCCCCCGAGCCCCTCCACCCTCTCCCGCACCCCTGGACACTCGCTCCTCTTTCCCTGGGGCGCCGAACAGCAAGGCTGAGTGAGGGCAGAGTTTTCTGCATGGGAGCTTTTCTATTTGGCAAGTCCTTGCTGAGTATCAACAAGCTCGGCCTGTGGGGGGACAGAAGAAAATACGAGATGGTCCATCCCTGCCCTCATAGCAAACAAGTTAGTAAGAGAGAGTGCCTGGTAGGGGCAGCAGATGGGGACTCAGGGCAACTTCTGGACTCACTGCCCCGGGGGGCGGGAGCTGACCCGCTTCCTCTGGGTCGGCTGCAGGCCGGCATTTCACTTTATTTGCCTCTTTTGTAGTCCTGGGAGTACAGGCAGAGGCCACTGAAGGGGCTGCCTGCTAACCTGAGGGGGCCATTTCTTGGTCTCTGCCTCTTCTCCAGGCAAAAGCGGGCTTGAAGATTGAGGCTTTCTTTATTATTCTGGAACTTATCGTTTCTGCGTCTTCTCCTCAGCGGGGTTGAAGGACTGACAGAATCTGCCCTGGCCTAGGCTCGGCCCAGCCAGGCTGAGGAACTGCCCTGGGACCTGGGACCTAGGTTTGCTCTTGTCATACCCTGTCCTCTGTGCTGTTGCCCAGGGGAGAGGGCAAGAGCGAGGCCTGCCATGCCAGCCAGTCTGGGTGGCGGCAGGGCCCTGGAGAAGGTGGCCAGTTTCCTTATCCCTAGCGTGGGAGGGAGACAAGCTTCATGACAACACTTGCCTGCCCAGCACCTCCCAGAACCCTCCACACTTTCTCTCCTTCCCTTTCCCAGGAGGAGGGCGGCTGCCCCCTCCTTTCTGGGTGACCAGAGAAACTGGGGCATGGGTGTGGGGTGGAGCCAGGAACCTCGGCGTCCTGCCTCCCAGCCTCTGGCTCTGTCTCTGAGCCCCTGAGGAAGGCAGGTAGCCAGCCCTGTGGAGGAGAAAGTGGGTCAGTGCTGGCGTGGGACAGGGGTCGGGGAAGTGGACTGGCCTCCCTTCTCCATTTTGATGCCTCCTGGCACACCTCTGCTCACTCCAGATCTGCTCCCCGCTCCTCTTCCCTGCTCCATCATTCCAAAGGGATTGAAGGCTTAGAATGGGACGGCCGGAGGAGGCAGGGTCAGCCCTGAAGGGAAGTGGAAGATGCCAAAGTAGGTTCACATCTTTCCTGGACTTGGTTTCAAATGAGAGGGTTCAGCCAGCACGTAGCATGGGAGCTGGCACATGGCAGCTCCTAGGCCATGCTGACTGGCTCCAGCACGACTGGGCTGGAAGGGCAGGAAAGAACTGGAGGGCAGGCAGGCCTGATGTCTCCAGGGCCCCAGGGCAGCTGGCATCTCACACTCCATCCAGGGTACTCCTGGGCCAGGCCTTGGCTTTTTTACTGTGCACAAAGCAGACCTTGCTTTTTCACTTTCAATCAGGGCTCCACCTCAGCCTTTTGGGCCCAGGAAATGGGAACCTGGAAGAGCTCAAGGAGCCAATATCGGGCCCTTCCCCTCCTCCTGATTCAGGGGGTTTGGAGGCCAGTGTGCAGCCTTCGAGGGAGGGGATGGAGTCACTGTGGTTTGGGGAGGACAGTTCTGGTTCTGTGGGAGGTTCATGTACCTCAGGCTGAGTGGGTGCCCCATAAGGTTTGTGGGATGACACATGGGAACACTGGATGGGTGGGGATGGAGAGGAGAAATGAACCACAAGAAGAGGGACTGTAGCAGCAAGGATTGAGGTTAGATATTAGGAACACCTTGTTGCACCAACTGAATCTCAGAAGCAAGAAGAGCACTTGCCCCCGCCCCAGGCCTCCTCTCCTGTTCCCCTGGAGGAGTCTGGGAATCGTGTTGAGGATTGTCTGGCAGTGTCTGACACTTAGCTCCCCACTTCATGGAAGCCGTGACGATGCTCAGAGCTCCCATCTCCTGGGTGCTCCTATCTTCCCTAAGCAGGGAGTTCTCTTTCATTAGGCATCTGGCTGCTCTAGGTTCTGGGGGCCCTGCCTTAGAGTCGTGATAACTGATGACTTCCTTTTCTCCAGAGCAGGCCTCTCCTGCCACACTCTCCTGTGCCTGGGGCAGGTAGAGAGAGCCAGGACAGGGCTAGCCAGCCCTTCTGGTTGCTCCCAGCGTGGGTGGGTGGAGTCCCGGGCTGGGAGGGGCTGCTGCCGCTGGCTTTCTGGGCTCCCTTGAGTCTACTGCCTGTCACCCCGTGGATGGGGACTTCGGCCTTTCCTTGCCTTCCTCATGAGAGGGCCTGGTTGGCCACAGTGTGGTTAGGGGAGGGGGTGGTGAATAAGGTCCTCAGACTTAGCCTGAGATGTCCCAGTGCCAGTTCTTAGAGGAGCACTGCTCCATCGCCTTTCTTCTAGAGTCTGCCCTGGCTAAGAAGCTGTGGCTCCAGACCCCTGTTTTGCTCCTGTTCTACCACTGGGCACCCCCCTCCGCCCCAGCAAATTACACATCTCATCAGTCTAGGGCCTGGGAAGGCCTACCTAGGCCACCTCCCCTATATATGTGGCTCTCCCCATCACCTGAGGGCAGAAGCCCCTTTGCCATCCCTGGCTGGTGGAAGCTGGCTGGGAAGATGGGCAGCCACTGTGTCCTTGGGTGGCCAGCTTCTCCCAGGCTCCTGACAGGAGGGTGAGGTCATCCAGTCCAGAGTGAGAGAGGACAGGTGTCCCTGGCTCTGTGCCTGGAGTGGGGGGCAAGGAGGGGCCAGGAGGGGGCTCCAAAATAGTAACTGTGATATCAGGAAGGGAGAGGGGGATAAGACCCAGGAATAACCAGGCTATTAAAAGGCTCCAGTGATGTCAGGAGGCCAAGTAGGATCTCTGTACCAGTGGGAGTCACAACCTGAGGAGAAGGGGTAGGCCAGCAATGGGGAGGGTGGGCAGGTGGCACCAGTCCTCATGGTGCACCAGCCCTAGGTCCCAGCGGGGCCCCAGGAGCAGGGTCTGCCCTGCCAGGCCTGAGGCTGCTGGGAAAGGGCTAGATGCTGACAGCCTCTTGACTCTTCTTGGAGGCGATCCACACTCTGTTCCTACTTGGGCACTGGGGGATCATTGTACCTGTTAATGGAAACCCCCGGGGCAGTTTCCTGCACTCCCTTGCAGGGAGAAGGCTGTGGGTTGTGGTGATTAGAGCTTGGACTTGATCCTCAGATAGATATCCTAGTCCTACCCCACCAGCCTCAGCAGCTGTATGACCTAGAGCAAGTGACTTCATTGCTCTGTACCTCAGTTTCCTCATTTGTATCTCCCGAGGTCATCATGCAGAATAATTGAGGTGATGTATATGATGCTCTTAGCATTGCACCTGACACATTGTGAGGAAAGAGCTACCTGTGCTCTGAGAATGGGCAGGTGCTACCTGGTCCCCTCACCTGGGCTGGGGGAGGCCTGTGCAGTAAGAGTCTCCCTGCCCCCTGGAAAGAAGCTGAGCAGCCTCTGGCGGTGACACCCCAGAATGGGTGGGAGGGAGCTGATACTTAGTTGCTGTTTAGGGGTCTCCCTGCTGGTTGAGGGGTGGGAGGCACCACCCAGCTCTGCAGGAGAGCAGAAGTTAAACAGATGCCCATGCGGCTGTTAGAAGGACTCCAGGGAATGTGCATGGGCAGGCCTGGTGGCCATGTCTGCCACCCTCTCCCAGACCCTTACGATTCCTTTACCTGCTGTGGATGACAAAAGGGAAGATAGAGGTTGAATCTGGCTTCTTGGTCTCCATCCATCTTGCTTGCCAAAAGTAGCAGCCAGATTGGCTCCCAGATGCATGGATACCCTGGCCTGTGCCCTTCCCCAGCCCAGCCTCTGGCCACCCAGCTCTGTGGCCTTGGCCCTGAGTGCAGGCCCTCCCCATTCCCATCCCCCTCGCCTGGCGCTTCCTCCTGGGGTAGAATGCGCCTCCCCCCATGGGGCCTCCGCCAGGCCTGGGCTCCTGGCAGCCGGCCTGCGGCTCCCTGAGCATGCTCCACCTATTTATAGACAGGGCCCTCCCCCAACTGCTATTTCAGTCTCCTGCCAGCTGCCGGCGGCTCATTCGGGAAGGAGGAACAGGGAGCTGGGCCCAGAGCTGTCACCTAGGGCTGGGAGGGAACACAGAGAGCCCGCCTGCCTGCTAAGCTCCCCTTCCTGTCCTGCGTGCTCAGTTGTATCCCAGCTCCTGAGAACTAAGGACAGGCTGGTGGTCGGATGCCCCTCTAGAGGAGAGCTAGGCCTGTAGCTCCAGGGCCTCCCGGCTCCTCCTGCTGCCAGAAGCACCCAGGCCGGATGAGGCGCCTCTCCACTGTGCGGGTCCCAGCAGCAGTGGCCTGAGGGAGCCCCCAGGCAGCGCGGGCTCTGCTCAACCACCTTTGCTTTGGTCGGCTCCCCGCCTCGGGCGGCCCCCTCCCTGGCATGCTGCTGGTGCCCAAGGCTCAGGGGCTTGTGGAGATGCTGCAGACCATCTATGAGACAGAATCCTGTTTCTCAGCAGATGGGATGTCAGGCCGGGAACCATCCTTGGAAATCCTGCCACGGACTCCTCTGCACAGCATCCCTGTGGCAGGTAAGTGCCTTGGTGTCCCTGCCTGCCCTCAGCCATCGGGCATCCTCGTTCTTGGTGCTGAGTATCTGGTTCTGAGCCTTGCCCAGAGATGGTGTCCTGCTTAGATCTTTCTTGAGGGCTTTGTTGAGAATGTGTGAGGCTGAGGGAGCCATGCTCAGGAAGTGGGCATCCCTGCCTGATGCCCCTGCCCTCCTTGCTCAGAACCTGTCCTTGCATTATGCCTCCCTGCTGCACTCTGCTGCATCTCTCCCAGTCCCTTTGGCCTCCGGCAGGGTCAGCATCAGCTGCTGGGGGCTGGGGTTTACTAGAGGTTCCTGTCCTAGTTGGCACCGTGGTCAGAGGGGAGGAAGTGGGTCAGTGACCTGCCTTCAGGTGACTCGATCCCCAGGTTTGGGCAGGGAAAGAAGCTGTAGCTGGGGTGTCCACAAGAAGAAAGGTTACCCCAGCTCCTCTGGCTTGGTTCTTGGAGGTAGAGGGTTGAGTGCAGTGACTTCCGCAAGTCCCTGGTCAGGATCCTCCTGGGAATCAGACTCTTGGGGAGGAGGCTCAATGCAGTTGTGGTAGAGCTTGGCAAGCCTGGCAGCTGGAATGTCGGGGGGCTTGGCTCCCTTAGCTTCCCCATATCTCTCCTCTTCTCAGGCCTCTGTTTATTCTCATCTTACGAGGATGAAGAGGTGTTACTCTGGCTCAGATAAGTTTGAGGACCCCCTAACCCTGCCACCTTCTCAGCAGGGACATTTTTGGCCCTTGGCTGGGGGTGGGGTCCCCCAGAGCTGGGCCACTCCTTCCTTCACTCCCAGGAACCTGTTGGCAGCATCAGGCCTTTCTGGCACAGCCTCCCCACCGGGCCGGCACCACAAGATGCTTCCTCCAGGGAGGGGCCTGCTGGACTCATGCCTGCTCAGCCCCTCCTGGCAGTGGCTTGGCACTCGAGTGTGTGTGTGTGTGTGTGTGTGTGTGTATGTATGGGGAGTCCTTGCCTCTGGATACCAACCTTTGAATTGGGAGGTGGAAGCAGTGTGCATCTGTAGGTACCTGTGATTTGGCTCTGAGTGGTCCAGGGATAAGGCGGTAATGGGACTGGGGTGTGTCAGAGGATGAATGTTTTGGGAAGATTTGGAAAATCTTTAAACATAGCCTGCCATCTGCCTGGGCAGGGATGCCCATGTAGTGTCCTAATGTAGGGGCACAGCTCTGGAGGCTAGTCCTGCAGCATCCCCTGGGATGTAGGCATAATGCTGGGGACCAGCCCTGTAGGATACCCATGCATTTTCCTGAGGTGGGGGCATAGCTCTGGGGCCTGCTCTGCAGGGTCCCCATGGAGGGGGAAGGGGTAGAAACACAGGGCTGGTTCTTGGCCTGGTCTGGTTAAGATTACAGCTCTAGCTAAAGTCCCTGCCTGTTGGCCCTTAGCTACAGCCTCTGGGACTCCAGGTGGTCTCTTGGAAAGCAGTGGAATGGCTGTGCAGAGCATCTACTCGGGGGCAGCTCTACCCTGTTTGGCATATCAGTCCAGCCATCCTGCCCTGTCCCTGCAGTCCCTTGCCTACCAGGAGCAGCCAGCAGCTGTCCTGAAGTTTCTCTTGTTTGTTTGCTCACCTCTTTTCAAGATAAACCGCAGAAGCCTTGCAAGCTGGGATCCTGCTCCCCCATCCCTTTCCTAAGCCTGTTCGCCCCTGCACAGACCCCTAGCATCCCCTCTTTCCAGATCCCTTCTCCCCCCTATCCTCCACCTCTTGACACTGCCTGGTCTTCTGAGCAGTGGTGTGGTCCATGCTGGCAGGAGGGAGGCGTGAGTCACCTCAGCAGCTCAGGGAGAGGGCTAAGAATGTTCCCCCTGCGCGGCTCTGATGCTGTGTCTGTGACGCGGCTGGGGACAGATATAGGCCTGGAGCTCGGCAGCCTTGTTTTTTTTTGGACTCTGGAATGTAAATAGATGTTTCAAATAGAAACACTTTAACCTTTGGGTTAAAAAAAAAATCCAACCCGGATAAACATGGCCATGAGGGCCCAGGCAGCCTGGTGTTTCCCTCCCAACCCCCCTCCCATCCCCCACCTCCTTTCCTCCTCTCTTGATCAATCTCCAGAAAGGATGCAAAAGCCTGTGGCTGAAAAAGCAGATGTCCAGGGATGCTTTCTTGGGCAGTATGTCTTGCACAGGGCTCCCCAGCCCAAGGTTAGGGAGAGGAGCTTTCCAGGGTGGTGCCTACCTGCCACCTCCAGCAGCAAGTCTTTGGATTTAGAGGCACCTTTGCTCTCTGGGCTGTTTCGTTCGCTGCCATTACTCAGCACCTAGTACAGTGCCTAGCACATGGATGAATGAGTGTGGCACGAGGGGGCTGGAGTCCAGGACTGCTGGCAGGGTTTCTAGGCTCTGTTCTGGGGGTTGGCCCTCTGAGAGAATAGAGACAGCTACGGCGAATCACTCCTGCGGGTGAACCAGAGCCTAGAAGGGATAGGGGTGCACTCTGCTGTTCTTGCTTTGTGAGGGGGACAAATCTCAGCTTCTACTAGTGGCAACTAGAGGTCTCCCTTGGTGAATGGGGTCTCTGCCTGGCTCTTCTGCTGTAGCCCAGTGCACCGCCATCATCCAGACCTAGTTCTGGCTTGGGGAACCTGGGAGTTTGAACTCCAGTGTGGGATTCCCAAGGAGGGAGAGCTGGGGAATTCCCTGCCTCCCTTCTGTGGACCCTGGATTCCCCTCTGTCCTGTACTGGGTAGGGCTGGTGCCTGCGCAGTGTGTGTGCATTTTGAGAGGCGTGGAGGAGTAGTCTCCTTTCCCCACTGGAGAGTAGGAATACCGCCTTTGCCAGGAAGGAATGCTGTGGATGTTGGGAAGTGCCATGGGCTTCAGGTTTGGCACTGGGACTTTCCCTGGATATTCTTATTCAGGCTCTTCAGACCATTCCGAGCTTGGGCCATGTGTGTAGGTGTAGAGGTGCCAGGAAGGTAGTAAGGGCGAGACTCGGGTGGGAAGGGAACTAATATTATAATGTACTAAGTGACAAAGGTATCAGGTACTTACCTTATCTCTTTCAGGAAGGTATTAATAGCCATATTTTATAATTGAGAAGGACCAGAGAGGTTAAGGAACTTGCCCAAGGTCACAGAGTGAGAGCTGGGATTTGAATTCAGGTTTCTGTGCAGAGCTGTTACTAGTCCACACAAAAGCTCTTTTTATACAGATTTTTAAAAGGTGGCCCTTCTGTGTGGATGCGTCCTCATGCCAATGTGCATAGCTGAGTAATTGGAGTGTTTCAGATTTCAGCTCCATACCGCCTCTTTAGTTGAGTGCCCACGTGCAGTATACAACCTGCACAACCTTGTGTGGTGGGCCTGCCTGTATGCCCAAGGGGAGAAGGGAGCTCAGGAACAAAGTTGAATGCCCGCCCCTGTACCGACAACCTCTTCTTCCCCCATTCCCTCCCACCCTATCCCCTCTTCTTGTTTTTGAGACCCTCAGCTGTCCCTACCCTGCTGCACAGCTGCCAGACAGGAAATCAGATTAACTGTGTCCACACACACAGCTGTAACAGCTGTCAGGTTGGCAGCAGAGATGAGTGCAGGCAGCCTGGGGACACTGTGAAGTGGTGGTTCTCAAACGTTCAGTTGCATCAGAATTACCAAGAGAAATAAAAAAACAAAAAGAAAGAAAGAAAAGAAACCCAGAATTAGGAGGGGAATGTATCAAAATGCAGATTCCAAGGCCTTGGGGCGGGGACAAAGATTTGAGTTCTGTAGGGCAGCCTAGGAACCAACATTTTCAATTCGTGTCTCAGGTGATTCTTATGTCAGTGGACCAGCGGACTCAGGCCATGCTTGGAGTATGGGTTGTGTGGACGGGGATCTTGGGGCCCAGCAGCCTGCCAACAGGTGTCACCAGCATTCCTGGAAGGCCCCAGT